TGCTGGGACCTGAGAGAGCCACCTGGGTGCCTTTGCTTGGCCTTGATGTTAGTGCTAGGCGACTGTGAGAGTTGCTTCCTCTGGGCCCTTGTCTGGGCTCCCTGGATTCGCGGGGCCACCCAAGCGGGAAGCAGCTTACACCCTTGACAAACAGTTCCTTCTAAAGGAACCCTGGGAAATCCTCACACATGGGACAAATAAAGATCGACCCCAGAATAAGAGTCCTAGATCAGTGGTAAAACACTTGTTTGCTCATGAGAGGCCCTGAATTCCTCCATAAGTACCGCGGGATGGACAGACAGACAGACAGACAAAAAAAAAAAAAAAAAAAAAAACAATCAAGCAAGCAAGCAAGCAAAATAGAGACCCTGAATTCCAGTGTAATCACTGCAAGACAGACAGACAGACAAAAAAATCAAGCAAGCAAGCAAGTAAACAAACAACAAAACCCAAATGAAAGAGGCTCTAGAGACACTCCCATAGAGGCTCTAGAGACACTCCCGTAGAGGGCTCGGGTCTGTCTTCCTCCCTTAGCCTCATGTTCCCACACTGCTCTTGACTCTGACAGCGCCGTCCATTTTTCTCATGAGTGGGAGAAAGAGGGAAGAACTTTGACCAAACACATCACGTGGGTGAGGAAGCCAACATTTGTCTAAAGTGTAAAGTACTGGCCACATGGGGGACATGAATAAGAGTTCTGTTGGCCATCTCTTATTCTCCACTCTACAGATTCACTTTGCTGAAGCAACTGGCAGTAGCTGGGTGTAACTGACTGTATCTCAACCTGACTTTACCGAGTGTTTTTTGTGCTCCCTCCAGGCCTGCTCTGCCTCTTTTGTGGTTGCCCCCAGGGGCCTTTTCCGCCATCCCTAGTCATAGGCAAACCCATCACTTATGGGTGATGGGGTGAGTACTCTCTGTTACTAGACATCCATTCATCTTCTACCCCGTGGGCTGGCAATGCTCATGAACCTTATGAGGGTCATCAGAGGGCCTGTATTTTAGATGTCCATGGGAATGATTGGCTTGTCGGCGGCACACATTGAAATTTGCCCTTCCTTCCTTCCTTCCTTCCTTCCTTCCTTCCTTCCTTCCTTCCTTCCTTCCTTCTTTCTTTCTTTCTTTTAAAAATCTGTTTCACTCCTTCTACTTTCCCATGTGTGTTCCTGAAGTTTCTTCCAAAATAAATTTATTGCACAGAAATTTTTTTCTCGGGCCTTTATTTTCCGTTGGAACCCAGAAAATCTAGTTGTGTAAAGTTAGATTGCATATAGGTAATAGAGACAGAAGAACAGGTGGGTAGATCTAGAGAAAAAGATAATAGATATAGCTAGGTCAGTGGATAGCAGAGAAGTATATGGGTGGAGAGATACAGAGAGAAGACAGCTAGCTAGTGGGGTAATGAGTAGGTAAGCAGATGGTGATGGCAGTATTTGCTACACCTGCATTCTGGACAGACTCATTGCATGGAGAGCATTCTAGCAGGCATTCTGCTCCGGAGTGAGATGTACAAAGATGAGCAACGTCCTGATCTATATAGCCCACATTGCAATAACTATGGATTGTTAGCTGAGAAGTACAGTTAGAATAAGTTCAAGATGGATGCCAGATGATGGCTGCTGTTTTCCTAGACTTCCTCTGGATCTGGAGAAACTCATCTTTCTGGGATGGTTTGGAAAGAGCCTTACGGATGTGGTCCTAGCTAGGTGCGTGGACATGCACTCTGACGTGTCTTCCCTGTAAACACATGGGATGTGTCTACCAACTAGTTTTCCTCATGTGCCTACAGTTCACGGAGGGAGAGTCTTGAGCAAGTGGGTAGATCATAATATTTAGCAATTCATTTTGCTAAAATTAAAATGACTTTCTTGACACCTGCTAAGACATTTATTCTCTTACAGAAAACACGAGCTACTCTTGGCAGAGAGCTCAGCTACCCCATTAGTCATCAGAAGGGCGGAGGGTGGCAGGGCTGTGGGAAGTGGGGGAGGTCAGAGTTAAGGGAGGAAGGTGGGGGAGGGCAAGGTCTTGGCATCCCCCAAGTATCTTTCATCTAAAGCATTTAGGTAAATGAAGTAACCACAGGTTGGTAAAACATGTCCAAACCACCCTTGTGGTGACTCAGGCAGTCAAAGCATGGTGATTTAGCTTTAAACCGAAGAGAACAATGTCAGACATCTCACAGTCTGGAGTGGGCAGAAAGGTATTTTTTAGTCATTTTTTTTCATCCTCGAGCCCACTGTGGCTTAAAAACAGAGGTGCTGATATTTTTTTAAATGATTTGCCTTGTAAGAATTCTGTCTTGCAATGACTTTCTCTTGTTTAGAAAGAGCCACAGAATCATGACTTATTATTTGTAATCTACTAGGGCTGGGAGGGGTCTTAGCAGCGAGTGCAACCTCTTGTGTGTGTGTGGGGAGCGGTCAGAGGACAGCCTGGGCATTGGTTTTTGTTTTGAGACAAGGTCTCCTGTTCTGCACAGCACAAGCCAATCTAGCTGGCCCGAGCTTCTGGGGATTTTTGTATCCATCTCCCGTGGGAGGATTGAGATCACAGGTGTGTGTTCTTGCACCTACTTTAAGTTCAGGGACTCCAAACCCAGGTCCTCATATTTGCCCGGCAAAAAATTTAGCCACAGAACCATCTTTCCAGCTCTCGACCTCTTTTTCTGAGATGCTTAACATTATGTAATCATTGCATCCTTTTTGGCCGAGCCAAGCTTCAAGTTCCTAGCAGTATCTCTCCTGGTTGGAAGTCATTTATAGCCAGATAGTTCTTGCTAAATGGGGTAGAAACCCAGCTCACATAGGGAGATTCATTTTGAGATGTGAATTAAAAGAGACTCTCTGCTCTTGGTCTATTGAAACCTGAGAACTAATTAATACTCATTTCAAAAAGGAATTCCCAGGGTGTGTGGCCATTGGCTGTCTTCCTCTATTCACACTTTCTACCAACACGAGTACCTGGTGCGCTGTCCAGTTTGCAGATCCAGCTCTAAGAGTTATGAATGACAGGTCTATAACCTCATAAAGAAGTAGCTGTTTTGATGGGTAAATTGAGATCATTCAGGCTGTAAACAGGGGCTTTCTTTCTTAGCTGGGGTTCCCACATTGTCACTGGACCCAGGACATGTCTGCTTGGCTAATTGTGAGGCATCACAATGCAGCCATTGAGAATGTTGGCAGAAGACTTGAATGTTTGTAATCAATGTGCCTTTGCAACGAGGCCTGGACCTCTCACGGGACTTCACTCAGTGGCTTTAAGGTGCACATTCTATCTGCTGGAAGCTTAGCCTAAGTCCCTTGGTGGCCAACCTCTTCCTATGTATGCCCTGAGCTCCTCTGGGCCCTCCTTCCTCACAGACCGAGAGCACCGAGGGGCCTAATGAAGAGTGCCTTTCCCTTCAAATGGATCAGGTTACCCACCAGCGCTCAGAACTGTGGCTGGATTCTAGCATGATACTCATGTTCGTGAAGCCTTAGTGCTTCCCTGGTCCTCAGTAACCAGCACTTCTGATTAGTGGTCAGGTGTACTTTGGTGGTAGGCAGGAAGTAAGCCATCAACCAGAGATACAGAATGCATGGCCACGAGTCCAGCCTTTAAAGATACTTATTGCACGACTTATCTGTGTATCTCTAATTAAATGCCAGAGGGTGGCTGGCTTGGAGATGGCCAGTCTGTAAATGAAGATGCCTTCTGTCTTGAACAACTCCATTCTAGCCAGGCGGTGGTGGCGCACGCCTTTAATCCCAGCACTTGGGAGGCAGAGGTAGGTGGATCTCTGTGAGTTCAAGGCCAGCCTGGTCTACAGTGTAAGTTCCAGGGCAGCTAGGCCTGTCACATAGAGAAACCCTGACCTGGGGGGAAAAAAAGAAAAAAGAAAAGAAAAACAAAATTCTGTTCTCAAACCATTCCTTAAATTCAATGGAAGGCCATTTTGGGGGAATGAATTCCAAACTGACGAGTATTCTCTGTACATTGCTGCCTGTTCGCAATTATGGGGAATAGATATGGTAACTACTGTGTCGAGGAAAAAATAACAAAAACAAAACAAGCAAAAAAATGTGTGCAGCAAATGGGAATCCACTTGTGTTAGAAATGCTAGCAAGGGAGTCTGTTTATTTTAATATTCTCAGAAAGGCCTAGGCACCCTAAACAAAACTGTGGGCCACATAAAAGAATATGTCTTCATTTATAAGTACTTATTAAATAAAAATGCAGATAAAATGATTATTAATAGATTCATTTACCAATGGCTTATTCTATAGTATCACATTTAAGAATATATTGGATCACTTTAAATGTTAGGTTGAAGTGGCTCACAATTTTCTGAAATAAGCAAAGGACATTATAAGCATGCAAGTTGTGAGCCAGGCCAAATATTCTCATCTGTTTTATATATTTTTATCAATTGCCATGGATTCACATGAGAGTCTCATAGATGGAATTTTAAAATGAATTTTAAAAATGATTTTCAGTAGTCATTATGATTTTCATCTTCCTTTTCTGGTCTTAGGTAACGTCTCTGGAACCTTCCCTTCATTGACAAGCCATGACTCTTTGCTCTTGTATAGACTACGAACAGCTTGAAGAATGTACCATCCCCCTCATTAGAATCTAGTAGCTGAACTTCACTAAGACAAATGGATTCATCTGTCTGTTTACTCCCTTTGGCTATGAGGTCAATAAGATGATGGCAGGCAGGAAAGGGGAAATAAGGATGCGGAACACTTTGGAACATCCCTAAGTAACGTTCAGGAAGGAGCCAGCTGCTGTGGTCCCGCAGGGCAAGTCATGCCCTCGGCCTGAAGAGTCATTCGTGACTTGCACGGTAGCCGAGTGTATAAATTTGGTGCACCTTGCTACAGTTCTAGCTAGGGTAGGCAATTTTAGAAAACCTGGAGCACAATGAAAAGAAAACAGGACAAAGAACGATAACATAACGCTGAGGCTTCACAAGTAGTCAAGGATGGCAACCAAGAAAGCAAAAGAAGCCAGAGTATAGCCAACCCTTTTTTAATTAGAGTATATTATACTTCCAAACTCGATACACTAGAAATCGGCAATGCAACGTAAGATGCAAAGGAAAATCCCAGTTACTGTCAAAATGACCCTGTACAGCCTCGTAATGCAAAAGCTTTATACAATACAAATTTTCAGTAATGTACACAAACCTTGACAGTATGACCATCTGAACATAATATGAAGAGTTAAAAAGAGAGAGAGGAGAGGAGAAGAAAGGCAAGGAGAAAGAAAGTGCCGAGGGCCCTAACTGCATTACTACGTGGAAAACCAAGCCAGCTTCATAGGAGAACGCAAGGTGAAAAGAGAAGAAAGTTAGCTGCTAGACGAGTGTCTCAAAGATGTTAGTGTTCTTCCTGGAAGGATCATGGGGTAATCCTTCCCCGAGTATCAAACTGCAAACCAGATTCAGGGGCACATTTTATCTAGGTGGATTCTGAAAAATGCTGTAGATTTTCTTCTTTATTAATAACAACAACAATAATATAAAAAGTCAAACAAACTGCAAACACACGTTTTCTCACTCAGAAAACTTTTTATAATTTACCAGAAAGGTTGATGACTCTTTCCAAAGTGCTAAAAAAGTTGCCCAATTACATTAAGCATTACTAAGTCATTCAAACACAGGCTCAGTGGCAAGCAGTGAAATGCATGGCATTTGAGCAGTAAACGTCTCCATCCACCTCCCCCTTCCCTCTCTCAAGTTCCCACCCGAAGACCTCTTATTGCACAAGTGGCTTGCTGTAAAACCAGGGTCCTCGTTGTCAGGGTCACCCACCCAGGTTCTTAACCTGTGGGTGCTTCAGTGGGAGTCACCTTTCTGCCCACCTCTGGGGGACCACTGTGGCACCACTACTCTTGTCACTGAACCTGCAGGTTTGAAAACACATTATTAGCCAAGTGGCATATTCTCCATTAAATGGGGATAAGAACACAACTTTAAAACAAAAACAAAAGCAAATAAAAAAACAACGAACCCACCCATAAACCCAGAGTGACCTTGGGGGCATATTGTCCAGAAAGTAGAGAGTGTCTTTGACTGAGATATTGACATGGCGAGTTGAGCAACATTTTACACAAGGCCAAGAGTGAAGGTCTCTGCAGGAGAACGGCCGAGGCTTTGGGGCCTTCCTGTGCTAGCTGGGTGGTCTCCCTGCCTTGTGGACATCTCCGTAGTGTAAACTTGTTTGCCAGGGCCTTAATTAGGCTCCTCACCCATGGATGGGTGGCAGGTGTGGGGAGGGAAGTAGAGAGCTGCTAGGTTTTCGAGAGAGAGGCTGAGGGGGATGGGGAGCCTGTGGGGTGAAGATGTACAGTCTTCTGGCTTTCCATCCAACTGCACTAATTTCAGCGAAGCAATCCTGACTAGAGGAAGAAAGTCGGGGATGCTTTTATTTCCCCCTGGTTAAAGTACTGAAAGAGAAAGGTGGGTATGAGCCCAGCTCGAGGACACTACCATGAGGGCAAACAGCAATGGTTAGAAAGCCTTCCTCATGGGCACCAGCTCTTCCACTGATAAATACTATAGAAACTTTCATATTCTAATGTCTCATTTTCAGACAGAGCGCATTTCTTCCCGCTCTTTCAGCCTGCCGCACACTGGAAATCTGCTGTTGTACAAGCACAAGCTGTGAACGTATTCAGCCAGAGACTTTCTTTTCCTTTCGAAACCATCCATCACTTGTTAAGACGAGCAGAGGGCTATGCGACCGACCCACACCTGCTTCTCGCTGCAATAAAGTGCTGCAATAAGTTGCCATTTTAATGACCATAAAAATAAGAGCTTTAAATAAGTATAAAGTCAGCCTCCTAGCAGGCTACATCTACTAGGCGTTAACAAAACGGAATATGGGGTCACTAATCCATGGAGGGTACACTAGACCAGAGGCTCTGAGAGCAGTGGGGACTCCGGGGCATCAGCTGAGGCATAGGACTAACAGCACCTTTTTGTTGGGTCCTTCCTTATACGTCAAAGAGGTCGTGGCTAAAATTTCAGACACACAGTCTACTCATTCCATAAAAAAGGTACAATTCCTTCCTTTTCTTTTACTTATTCCTTTCCCCCAATGAAAAACAAAACTAGTGCAAGACCAACGCGCTGTGCAAAGCTGCGTTTGTTTTTAGTCTGGGCATTTCCACCCAGAATCGATCCAAACCCTTAATCTCCTTGGCTGGATTTATCAACCATAACAATTTCCACTCATACAAGTTTTTTTCCTGCAAACAACTGAATCAATATCACACACACATATATATTCTGCCCTTAAGAAAGAATGCACTCGTGTGTGCGTGTGTGTGTATGTGTGTGTGTGTGTGTGAGTGTCTGTGCATTCACAGAACACCTTGCCTCCATCTGGGCACACACACAGAACATACAAGTTTGTGATGTCAGCTGCCAACTGTGGAGCTGGGAGATGGTGAGACATTTCTTAACAGAGCGGTCACCTGATTCTTTGCAGCTCCCCAAGTGCAGATGTGAACGCCAGGCTGAGCACTCCACTGGAAACACCCTGACACCCTGCAGGTCTTGATCCACTAAGCACCAGGCCCTACCACTCTATAGCCATACAATAGGGAGAGAAAGGCCGTGAAGGAGGTGGAGACTGTAGTAGATGAACAATCCAGAAGGGAGAGAAAGAATGTTCACCACTATCAGAAAGGCCAGTACAAAAAGGATGTGCAATAGAAATGGCATGGCACAAACCACACACACACACATTACACACACATCACACACACACACACCACACACACATTATACACACATCACATACATACACACCACACACACATATTATACACACATCACACACATACATGCCACACACACATTATACACACATCACATACATACACCACACACACATTATACACACATCACACACATACACGCCATACACACATTATACACATCACATACATACACACCACACACATTACATACACATCACACACATACACACCACACACACATTACACACACATCACACACATACACACCACAGACACATTATACACACATCACATACACACCACACACACAATTATACACACATCACATACACACACCACACACACATTATACACATATCACATACACACACACACCACACACACATTATACACATATCACATACATACATACCACACACACATACATACACATCACATCACATACATACACACCACACACACACCACACATTTTCTCTTTTCCAATCCACAAATGTCCACAATAGCCCAGTCACCCAAGAGAAAACCCAATGTACCAGTAGAGAAGCTTCCAAGTGCTGACTGCTATTAAGGACATTCTCTTTAGGGTTTAACATGACAAAATTCCTTTGAGAGAGAAGTACTCAGGAGGCTGAGACTGGGAGGGTGGCTGGGGAGGCATGCCTCTGAAGGGAGGAGCAGGCAGCAACACCTCTCTGAAGATTGGCTAAAGCAGCTTTCCGGTCAATGCAATTGGTATACATACAGAGCCAATTTTCTACTCCTTACTAAAGATATACAGTACACATGGTCCAGACCCCTGGGGCCTGTAGGTTTTGCAGCAACATACACCTGCTGGGGTTGTGTTTAAGTTTTGTGGGTTTTTGTCTTTTCCTGTCTCTGTCTCTTGGTTTTTGGTACAGAACGTGGCTGTCCTCAGACAGTCTCTGCTCTTTCTCTTAGTCCAAGATAGGCAAGGAAGGAGTGTTTGGGTGAGGGGATGCTGGGAGGCGCAGTCTGAGGTCGGGGAGGGTGGAATGTGAGATCCAGGTGGTTCTTGGGGTACAACATTGTTAAGGGAATGAGATGGGCAAAATCCGAGTTCCGGTATTTGTCAAGACGCAGTGGGGAGCCGTTGAAGGCCAAGGCCTTGAGCGCCAGGTTGGGCTCCGAGCTGCTGCTGTGGGCTGCTGACAAGGCCACGGTCTGCAGAGCCTGCGAGGCAGACATGACTGACAGTGGGGACAAGAGACTCCGGCCACCCCCCACAACCAGGAGTGGGGCTCCAGGGCCGGGTGGCTCTCTGGAGGCTGGACTCAGGCCTTTCTTGTCCTCCTCGGGGCCGTCTCCACTCTGGTGCTTCTTCACGTGACGGCTGAAGACGAAAGGGTGTGTGGTCTTGAACAGGCACTCTCCGCAGCTGAAGGTCTGGCGGGGGGCATGCTTCAGCTTCTTGTGCAGGTTGAGATTGTCCTTGCGCTTGCAGCTGTAGCTGCACTGGTCACAGTGGAAGGGCCGCTCCCCGGTGTGCACGCGCACATGCTCGATGAGCTTGTTGGCCGTCTTAGACAGGTAGCCGCACTGGTCACACTTATAGTGGTTGCCCAGGCGATGCTCGCGGGTGTGCGTCTCCAGCTCCAGCTGGTTGGCCTTCACCGTCTGGCAGATCCGGCACTTGTACTCCATCTTGTAGTGGGTCTTGAGGTGGCACTCCATGGCAGCAGGGCGGTTGGTGGAGTAAATGCAGAATGGGCACCTGCCAGGGGAAGCAATGCAAAGGAGGTTTAGCGAAGAGGGCCCAACGGCAACCCTCCATCTCCCCTCCTCACCAGCCTGCCCTGGGTCAGCCCTTGGGTCCCCAAGGCCTGGCCTGCTCAACCCTGCCACCTCTCAGATGGCCTTGCTTGGCTTCACTGTTGACAGACAGTGCAGTCCAGGTTAACAGGGAGCTTTGGGTGGTCCACTGAGCTGGTCTGGGGGCTCAAGGCTGCAACAGCCAAGGCCAGCCCTCACAAAGGAGCAGAGAATTCGGGGAGCAAATAAAGCTGGTACTCCCCTCCTGCCACCTCCCAGTCCCTGGGGCCCTCTCCACCCCCACCCCACCATGGGACACAGCAGAAGTCGGGGCTTCCTGACCTCCCCTCTAGATGGGAGCAACACAGAGAATGGACTTTTCATGCACCACACCAAGCACACGCAGAAAGGCTAAGAGGTTTTAAGGAACAGCTTACAGGGGAGAGCCACCTCCAGCAAACAGTCACAGGAGCCAGAGTCGTGCTTACAAAAGGGGTGTTAGGATGAAAAGGCCTGTGCGTGTTCCTGTGTGCCAGTGGTGTGTGTGTGTGTGTGTGTGTGTGTGTGTGTGTGCACCAACATGTGGATTCTCCATATGTCATCTCCTGAAGTACCAGCTCTTTGTCAGGAATGGGCAGTGAGGACCGTGACAGGGGCCTGGGAGAAGGAAGTCCACACAAACGGCCTCTGCTCGTGAGGAATGAGAAGGAAAGGGACTGGGACTGCTCTCCAGAGCTTGAAGACATTCTTAGGACATGATCATGCCATAGCAATACCAGTGATCCAACTGGAACGTGGATCCTCCTAGGGCAGGGCTGTTCTCAGGTTCTTTTGTATTCTCTATGGTGCTCAGAAGAGTACTCAGGAATGCTGACTTGTGATCTGAGCATCTTTACAGGGGACAGAGGGAGATTCAAAGTGCTGGGCTGAGTCCCAGCTCCGGCACCTGACTGGGACCTAGGTGTCTCCTCTAGCATGAGGCCTGGGTATCTCTGGCTTGGACTCTCCAGTCTTTCCGTCATGGGTCACACTACCAGCAGCCCCGTCAGAGGGGCTATGAGGCATGGGGCGGGTATGTTTACAAAACCTGCTGTGCTTCACGACTGGAAGCTGCCAGGTTCGAGTCTGTGGCTTAGAGGATAACTGTAGCATGTGTGTGCTCTTTCCAAAAAGAATGCAGATGCCTGCGTGGTTGCCTCAGCTTGGACTCAGCTCCTGCAAGGCAGGGCTCGGAAGGGGACTGTCCTCAGAGGGTTGGAGAGGTGTTCAGCAGAGCCCAACAGTCAGGTGCACCGTGCACTGCCTCCTCAGCACCAAGCTCGCTGTTAGCCCTTGGCCCTCAGCTCACAGAAGAGTGCACAGAAATATGAAGCCCATTCCCAGGTCAAGTGCACACACAACCCCTACGCCAAGCTGGGCCTTACCTAGAGGAGTCTGAAACTCACCACTGTCCTGAGCTACGGCAAAAGAAAAATAATAGTATAATCTTATTCGATCTGCATTATGAACAGGATATAGAGTACAAGCAGCCCCATCACAGAAAAGCATTTAGACATCGGCGGTCTGTCTCGTGTTAAGGACGTTTCTGTGACCCTCAGCTCCGTCTGCAGCTCACTGCTCAGGCAAAGCGCTCACGCTTTTCCATGATCCCATTATTTATCCTAGAGACACTTTCTCAGGCAAATTAATTCTCTGATACGGCAAAAGAAACAAACAAAACAAAACTCACTGTAGAGCCAGAAGGCATTATCAATTTTTTTTTTTCAAAGTGTTCTTCTACTTGGTTGTCCTAGAACATAAACTATCATATGGGGATGGTTAGCGCCGACAGGAAGTGTCTGACCCGGTAAAGCATTGAGGTCATCGTGCAAGCGTCCCCAGTGCATCAGCGGCCCAGGCCTGCTCGGGGTCTCAAAAGGTGAGAGGCAAGGCCGCAAGTGGCGTGGGTGTGACTGAGCTACCAGAGGGCAATGATGCTACTCCATCCTCAGAAGGCAGATTTCTTCTTTTTAATAAAGAATGTACACATCTTGATAAAGGGACAGTGGGATTAAACCAAATCAAATTCCCAGCTGAGCTTCTGCCAGGCGTTCCCCATCTTAGCTGAACAGGTGATATAACCAACCGCTCTCTATGACCCTCCCACCCACACACCCCCAAGGGTAGATAAGGATGGAAGGGCATCAGCAGCAGGTGCTATGTCCCATCTCTTCTGTTTTGTTGCTGAGGGTGTCCTGACCAGCCAGCCCCACTCTGCCCCCAACGCTCTGCTCCAGGTCCCTCTGGGCTCTCCAGCTCTTACCCACTTCTCTGAGAGAGGCATGCCACCTCTCTGAGGTTGTTTCAAGGATAAAAATGTTTTAAAATGAGAGATCCCTTCCTTCCCCCACCACTTATATCAAGAAAATAAAAGGAAAAGTCCTTCCCCTATCCTTTTACCTACACGGTGGTTTTAGATGAAAATGCCCTGACAACTGCCTCTTTCTGTAACCCAACTATTTTATGCTCCTGTCCGTTTACCTCATCCAAAATGCCTTGTGATTTGGAACTCTGCTTCCAGAATCACTGGAAGATTGAATTCTGGTAGTGCTGGGACACATGTTTCCTAAGGTGGGAATGATATTTTATTCTTCCTGTGTCCTTTAGCATCTGCGGTCAGGCTAGTCCCATAGCATGCTTGCTAAGAGCTGATGGGTCTCTCTTGAGGCCAAGGTCCTTGTTGCAAATACTGCTTAAGAAGGATGCTCCCTGTCTAGATCTTTGGGGAAGGTGTCAGCACGTCTGCAGGAAGACACGAGGCACTTGATGTTTGCATGAACACCATTGCCTCTTGTTTGATCAAACCATCAAGATTCTACTTTGGGGGCTGGGGTGCCTACAGGACTTACTTAAAAGCTAAATATATGTCAGGCCATCTAAAGAACGAAAACAGTAACTTGCAGCGACAACCTGTGAAATGGTCACTACCTGGGGACACTGGCCAGGAGTCCATTAAATTCAAGTCTGAACACAACCCAGCACTGCAGTGTGAGTCTAGGTGCTCATGGTGGTCTGATGCTTTGCACTGGTCCGTGCCACGAGCCTGGGGGACTTGTGGCTTCTCCTGCTGATGTTGGTTGCCTCCCTTGGGGACAGCTGGACCAACGTCTAGCCAGAGGCAGCAGATCTTTCTAACTCTCCCCACACCAAGCTCCCCGACTCTGTGATCCCCAAAACCTTCATGGGAGGATGGGGTAGGGCAAGGGGTGTTTAGTAACAACTCAATAAAAGATTCTGTACTTGCTTTCCTTACTTGAGCCCACCGGTGGGGACAGTGTGGCATTTCTTGTGCTCCAGCAGCTGTTCAGGGGTCTTCATGAACTTGTGGCACACGTCACACTCAAACATCCGGGTGATGAGGTGGATTTGCAGGTGGCGCTCAAACATATTCTTCGTTTTGCAGACAAAGTTGCAAAAAACGCATTCGAACCCTGAAAGGACCGAAGCTGGGTGTAGGAGTGTGTGGGGAAGGACAGGCAGGCAGTCGTGGGCAAACGCCCCTTCCTTCTGACCCTGCATCTTGTAACACAGCTTTCTGGGTACCCCCCCCCATATCTCTGCACTAAAAATGGTTGAACGTTCACGCTCCCCTCCCCTTCTTCCCATCCCATATTTGAGCACAAATCAAGCCAAAGCAAAGGGCTCCGTTTGGGCAGTGAGCACCACGCTGCAGTTTGTTTTCCTCTCTAAGGTTTGTTCTTAAGACCAGGTCACCCTAGAGTGGACAGGGTGAGCAGGCCATGTCCACCTCCTCCCTCACCTTTCTCTGGCTTCTCCTCGCTGTTCAGTGAGGGCTGGCTCCCGGGTACCACAGAGATGACCAGCAAGTTGTCCCCACCCTTGTTTCTCTGGGAGCTGTCTGAGTCATCTTTGCCATTGGCGGAATCACTCAAAGTTGACAGCGAGGATGAGGAGGGGCTGTTTGATTCACTGGGGGTCTTCCTGTCATCCCCTGGAAAATGAAACAAGCCAGGTCTGTTATGGAGGGGCTGAAACCCCTCAGAATGACGGCAGGTGAGGAAAGGGTGATACCAGCACCTGGGAGCTCATTATTTCCAGTGTCCCCAGGGCACCCATTGGGAACCAGATTCTAGTGCAGCCCTTGTGAGGGCACGTGTGGAATGCTGGGCCCAGATATGTGTGTGGGCATTTATGCAGGTCTTACAACAATTAAAAAATGACAGTAGTAGCTAAGATGGATCACACAGAGTTCCAGGATGACAGCACGCACGGGCCTCTGCCAGCCCAGTGTGTACGCATCACTCCTCTCATGGGCACTGTACCGTTCCCACTCCATAGAGCACACACGTGAGCACTGTAGCACGTGCAGAAGAGCGACTCACGCTCAGCAGCAGCACATCCGGCTCTGCTTCAAAGCCAGGCATAAGGAGGTCAGCAAGCCATTAAAACCTAGGGCCACAAGACTTTAGCATCCAAAGCCAGAGCTTCTGGGGTCAGATCTAATATTGCTACCAAAACAGCTAAAACCGAATATATCAAACATCAGTTTTTACAACACTGGACCTGAGGCAAGGAAGAGGTTGGTCTCTGAGAGGCAGGACAAAGGAGGCCAGCCCACAATTGCTTGGCTTCCTGCCCTAAGCTATGTCTTAGGTTGCAGGGCAGTAAGAGGGACACAGGAGTCTGATGAACTCCCCTGGAGAAGAGACAGAGTCAGGGGTCTTGACGAGGTCAAAATGGACGGATCCTGCAGAACACAGTTCAACCGAGAGCAAGAACACAGAGAAAAATGTCCAGAGACTGCAGAGGTCAGTAGGACATGGGTCAGAGTGGCGGGGTGTGTGTGTGTGTGAGCAACCAACTACTCATGCCCAGGGCGGGGGAAGTCACTTGAGAACAGTGAGGGCAGCGCCTGGCACTCACACAGGGCTGGTCCCTGTTTCCAGCAGCAAGATCAGAGCAACACACAACTCTGGGCATTAGATGGGATACTGAGGAAGGACTTCTAAAAAGGGGGCAACAATTAGTCCCAAGTAGATGAATCCCTACCTCATGATCCACACCTGCCTAACAAATCATATGGGAAAGATGCCGAAACAGCAAGGCTTCCAAGTGCCTATGTCCTAAATAAAGGTCAGCAATGCTAACAGGAACACAAGATACATAACTGAACAGCCAGCATGGCGAAGGAGGTGTTTGGTTTCTAAACAAAGATTATCAGATATGCAAAGAAACAAGAAAAACCAGCTCAAAATAAGGAGGTAAGTCAACCAATGAAAGCTAACCCGGAGCAGCCAGAGTTTTAGAATTCTTAGTAGAGGATATTATAACTATGTTTCAAATTAAATTCCAAAAGTCAGACAGACACACAGAAGATATGGAACGGTCAAATCATATTCCTACTGACGAAGACACACAATGAGGGGATCGCTAGAGGGTCACACAGAAGAAAAGATCAGCCTGCTGAAAAGTTTTATATCAACTTGACACAAGGTAGAGTCGTCTGAGAGGAGTGAACATCAATTAAGAAAATGCCTTCATAAGATGGGGCTGTAGGCAGGCCTGTAAGGTATTTTCATAATTAATGGTTGCTTGTGGGCGGTTCCACCCCTAGGCTGGTGGTCCTGACATTATAAGAAAGTAGGCTGAGCAAGCCATGGGCAGCACCCCTCCATGGCCTCTGGGGCAGCTCCTGCCTCCAGGTTCCTGCCCTGTGTGAGTTCCTGTTCTCACTTCCTCCAAGGATGAACAGTGATATGGCAGTGTAAACTAAATGAGCCCCTTCCTCCCCAACTTGCTATTTGGTCATGGGTGTTTCATCACAGCAATAAAAATCCCAACTAACAAACCTCAAGTAATAGCTACAGGAAAGATCTGAAACGGAGCAGAACAAAGTACCCTCCTACGTGAAAAGAACATCACCGAGCCGTGAGGTGATCTAGACAACATCATATAGACTGAAGTCCTGATTCATTGGCTACGGCAGAACTTAACTGCCTGTTTCTTGGAGACACGGTCTCTCTATGTAACCCTGGCTGTCTTGGACCTATGTTCTCAGACTAGCCTCCAACTCACAGAGCTCTGCCTGCTTCTGCTAGGACTAAACATGGGCGCCACCATGCCCAGCTGATATCAATTTGCTGTTGTTGTTTTGGGACAGGGTTTCCCTGTGTAACAGCCCTGGCTGTTCTGGAACGCTCTGTGTAGCCCAGGCTGGCCTGGAACTCAGAGATCCACCTGCCTCTGCCTCCCGAGTGCTGGGATTTAAGGCGTGCGCCCAGCTGACAAGTTTTTGAGATAATAAAATGTTTCTAGCTGTGGGGAACCAGAAAGCTCAGCATCCAAGAAGCTCAGTGAACGGCAGGCACGAGAAGCACGAGGAGCCAAGAAGGCACCTACCATCCCACCACTCAGGCTCTGAGTTCAGGGCCAGTTTGAGCCAGATCGGGAGACCCCATCTAAAAGAAGAAGGCATCCATATCAAGACACACAGACATCATCGTTAAAGTGCTCAAGAACAAGCAAAGGAAAAAAAAAATCCTAGAGCCTTGTGTGGTGTCATCCCAGCAGTCAAGGGGTTGAGTCAGGACAGGGGGACCAAGGCCAGCTTGGGCTCTAAAGTGAGATACTGTCTAAAATAAAGTAAAAGAGAAGAGAAAAAAAATAAGAGGAAAAAAGAAGAGACGAGAGTATTCCCAGGAAGAGCCATAAGCAAAAGGTCGCATTATGTGGAGCGGACGTGAGAAAGACAGTGGGTTTTCCCACAGGAGCCATCCTGTGACAAGGCACCAAGTGACATCTTCAAAGAAACAAGAGACTATCCACCTCCAACTTCAGACCCGCTGAAAGCATACCATAAAAACGAAGGACAAACAAAGTTGACATTTAAAAAGATGAAAGAACTCATCACCTGGAGACTTGAATTTAAGAAAAATTAAAGTAAGTCTTGTAAATAGATGGAAAGGGCAACAGGAGCAGCAGAGGCGCCGGCACCCAGGAAGAGTGCGGGGTGGATGGGGCGTGGCTGTGTGGATCCATTTCTTCTCGAAGCATCTTTGGAAGGGAAGGAAAGTATTGGCATGCAACCCCAAATGACAGGGCTGGAGCCTACCTGGCAGGAGAAGTCTAAAAATGCCACGGAAGCTGGGAGGGGAAGGCGGAAGCTGGGCGGGGAAGGCGGAAGCTGGGCGGGGAAGGCGGAAGCTGGGCGGGGAAGGCGGAAGCTGGGCGGGGAAGGCGGAAGCTGGGCAGGGAAGGCGGAAGCTGGGCAGGGAAGGCGGAAGCTGGGAGGGGAAGGCGGAAGTGTACCATTTTGGGGTTCTGATGCAAAACAGCATAAACGTGAGGATACACAGCGGACTGCACATCATGTAGCATGAATACTGGTTTATATAATTTCATAGTAACCCAACTTACTAATGCACAGGTTCAAATGAGTAGAACTGGGCCAAAGTCAAACCTCTTGAAGCACTAGTAAACAGATTCTTACTGTAAAACTATCAACTTCTAACAGGGGTCTGAAAACAGAACCCGGGGGACTAGCATCCTGTTCTCGTCATCAGTGTTACTGAAACATGGCTTTTCTGATGGGTGGCAGGGAACAAGGACACAGAAGCAGGTGGGAGGAGGGGGAAAGTAGACCTGGGAGGACTTGGGAGGGGGAGTACAATCAAAATACCTTGTATGAAGCTCTCTTAGAATTCATAAAATAAAAACGGAAGGCCTGGGAGCCTGGAACGTTCATCATGGGTGCATGGAAACTCTGCTTGAAGCACCTAAACTCACAAGCAACATTATCATCCCATTCCAACAGCGGCCACCAGCTGAGAGGCTCCACACATTAGACCAAACTTCTTCAGAGTGATCGCCTGTGGCTTCTGTCCTAACAAGTGAGACCATTCCTCCCAGGTTGTCTGTCAGCTCAGAGGGAACTACGTCTCCCTGAGCATCCTGTGGCACTTAGGAGGGGTGTTGGCACTGTTTAGTTGCGAACCTGAAGTTTCTACTGTGCACAAGTTACCTTCTTCCTGCGCTGAGTGGTGGAGAGGGCTGCAGTGGGGTGGAGGGACTCTCAGGGACACACTGAAGCAGAAAGGGTGACAGCCAGGCTTTGCAGAAAAGACAAAAGAAGGGCGAGTGCAAAGCCAGTGCGAGCTGGAGAGAAGCTGGCCTTTCCCTCCAAAATGCCAAATTGAATTTGCCTTCCCTGTGGGTCTCCCAGCTCACCGACAGCCCACAGTGCTAATGTGGTTACACTCAGACAGCTAACTGTAAAAACAGCCCCTTCTCACTCAGCAGAATGCCTCTCTGTGCACCCCAAGTCAGAGCCGCTCAACTTACTGACAAAAAACGCAATTATTTTTTGCTGTCGGCACCAGTGATCCAATGGTCAGAGAAACAGATCAGCGCAACTGTTGGGGAGATTCCCCTTCCTGCATCCTTCGAGAGCCAGCTATGTGATGGGCTGACCCATGCCCAGGACTGGCAGTTAGCAACACTAGCTCTCAACATGTAAGCCCCACAAGGGGTGGGTGGGAGTAGAGGGCAGTCCCTCTCAATCCGGCTTAATGACTTCATGCTAGTGCCATTGGTAACATCGCTTCTGACGGTGTAATTGCGAGGTGAAGGCAAAATGCTAGCGTTAAATGGAAGAGGCTAACCAGCGCGGCAAGAGGCTTTAAATGAAAGGTGAGCGAGCACTGGCCAGGCGGCGTTAGGTTGGTTTCAGAAGACAGTAGGATGAACAAACATATGTGTCGTTGTGGAGCATGTAAGAGCCTACAGACCTGTGGGTAAAGTGCCCTGGTGCAGCAAAACAGAAGGTTCAAGGCCCTGCCAAGTGTCCTGCATGGTAGTCCGAAAAGCAGGGAGACAGAGCACAGGACGTGGAGCAAACCCTGCTCTGGGATGAGGTTCAGAATCTACATTCTCCTCACTGACCTTGTGTGGAACCCCTCACCCCCCCACCCCTCAGTCTCTATGCTGTGATTGTCAGGAGTGTCCACATTAGAGGGCTACATTGGCTGAGACAAGCAGGCAATGTACAAGCCTGGGGCACAAGAGCTTAGGTGTGGAGGTGACAGCCAGGACCAGGTGAGGCCTAAGCACGCAGCTCATGGGTCTCAGCAGAAGCTACTCCTGCAGCCAAGCCCAGGTCTACTTAGGGCACGACACTATGACCACGGGAGTGATGTGGCCCTGGTGCTCCGGGGGGCCCTGCTCCTGTGAAGGAGGTCACATTAAGTCTTCTGGCACGTGTATGCCTGTGGGGTGCAGGGGATGGAAAAGGACAGGATGGTCACCTGTGTGCTTGGTGCCAATGTGGTTCTTTATCTCTGCTTCCTCCATGGTGACAAAGTCACAGGCTGTGCAGCAAATGGAAAACATCCACTGCTCCTTGTCCACGTGGAGCGACATGTGGCTGACAAACTGGACATTGAGCTCAGTCTCAAATCCACACACGTGGCAACTAAAACAAGGAAGGAAAAAGGGAAGAGTGAGACAGGGCTGCTCAGTCACACAGGGCACGGGGCTGCTCAGTCACACAGGACACATGGCTGCTCAGTCACACAGGACACGTGGCTGCTCAGTCACATACAGGGCACACGGCTGCTCAGTCACACAGGGCATGTGGCTACTCAGTCACATAGGGCACGTGGCTGCTCAGTCACACAGGACACGTGGCTGCTCAGTCACATACAGGGCACATGGCTGCTCAATCACACAGGGCACGTGAGCGGCTGCTCAGTCACACAGAGCACGTGAGTGGCTGCTCAGTCACACAGAGCACGTGAGTGGCTGCTCAGTCACACAGGGCACGCAAGAACATTAGTTTCATGTGTGTTGGTTCAGGAAATTCTTCTGCCTGCTGCGATGCCTCTAGAGTGGTCACTGTGCCAACAGATTAGGTGCCAGCATAATATAACAACCTCATACAAGCTATAATGATGATAAATAATCATAAAGGTAATTTAAAACTACAGATTCCAGATGCTGCATATGGCCTAACGGACTCCTTTGGGCACAGAGACCTGGGGCAGTGTTGCCAAGATATTTAGTGGGGGTCTACTGGCAGATCAGACTGCTGCACACCTCGGTCTCCCTCTGGCTCTAGAAACCCTCGGGTGCAGTGAGGAGAGCACGCAGATCGTTCTGTGGCACTCTGAGCAAGAGGTAGTCATGTGACACCTCCCAGGAGAAGCCACTCATCCACCTAGATGCCTTGCAAGGGTGACTCTCCACCAATATCACTACGACAAGGTTTGGTAGACTCGGGAGTTCCATGCTGAGTCAAGGTTGAACACACAGTGTAGTGTATCATAATGGGAGCCAAGGGACAGACACTGGGCCATCTGAGCAATTGCATGGGAGTTCTCAGACCATCTTTTCGTGTGATTCCTAGGCCATAGCAAGGTACTCAGCCACCAAGTGGGGAACTGTGCCACAGCTAATAGCCAATCACCCAGAGAGTCTTGTTCTCTTTCTGGAGCCCCGTTCTGAAGAATCACCTCCCAGACCACTTCTCTTTTTATTAATTCTATTAGGGCCACCTGAGCTAGATAGGCATCTGTGCAAATGCAGGGTTCAGTCTAAGCAAAGAACATGTTAAAATGAAGTTGGCCAGAGGCTGAGGAAAGGGGCTCTGAGCCCAGTGCTCTGGGCAGGCAGAGGGAGTGTCCAGCAAGTGTCTCAGAAACGTGGTAAACCGCCCCTAACTCACCTGTAGTAATACGGGTGTTTCTTCCCATCACTGCCTTCAGAAGTGACGGCACTGACGATGTCCTCGGCGTCGGTACTCACCAGCTTCACAGAGTGCACGGTCAAGTGCTGGTTCAGATTTGCACGGCACTTGGCGGCGTAGGGGCACAAATGGCATTTGTATTTTCTTTCCTCTGGGGGAGAAACCAAAACTGCTCTCAAAAAAGAAAAAAGTTCCAGAGCTCACTTAGAGGAGCCGATGAAGGTCAGCCCAAGTCTCCCTTGGGGGGGCGGGGAGACGAAGGGCACGCCCTAAAGCTGCTCCTAAGGTATCCCTAGCAGTTCGCTCCTGTATCAATACTCAACTCAACGATGAAAAGGGCTCTCTCTAGGCAGTAGGGACAACATTTTGAGGCTGAAGCGTGGGTTTTATGGTGTCCAAACCAAATCCGATTCAAGGTAGGTTATGGAGGCCAAGAGCAACATTGCAGCAATGGCTACATGGCAGCCCAGCCCAGAGCAGTGTGCTATGCTCTGAGCTGTTTCCTCGGAGTTCTCAGATTTATTTTTCTTGGACATCTCATCCTTCATCCCTCATCATGACAAGGTGAGTGCCACAGGGACTAAAAGGACACTGTGTGTGTGTGTGTGTGTGAGTGTGTGAGTGTGCACATGAGTGTGCCCCGTGCGTCATCTCACATCCCTCATCATGACAAGGTGAGTGCCACAGGGACTAAAAGGACACTGTGTGTGTGTGTGTGTGTGAGTGTGTGAGTGTGTGAGTGTGCACATGAGTGTGCCCCGTGCGTCACTCTTGGGCAGGTACCGAGATGAAGAAAGCTAAGGAAATGAACACTGATAAAACCGGAGCCTACGAGGTCCATCATTTTCTCTCAGCTCCAGGCCTGGGACAGCCAAGGAAGGAAAAAAAAAAACTAATGAAATTAAAGGGGAAAAATGACTTGGATAAAATAATTTAATTGGAAATTTTCATTATATAAATAAAATTTAAAAATCTCAATTAATTTGTTAATGGAAATTGGCTCCTAAAGCTAACTAAGGCTTTGGGAGCGCTTCCAGAGTGGTGTCCTGAATACATTTGATTAATCACACGGACTGTAAGGCCGAGGAGCAGCCTGCTGGCCTGCGTACGATCTTACACAGCGAGAACAACCTCACTTTCGGTCCAGATGTGGGGGCTTGGCTTGAAGATACTTGTCTCATTTTCTTCACCAGGAAAAATGTGGCAAAAAGTGCTCCCATTACAGAATATGAGATACCATGACATGTCACGGTGTCTTTCCACCCCTATCTGACAGTGGCAGGCTCAAGGCCGGGCCTAAGTCTCCATCATGGTGTTGAGAGATAGAGACCTGGGTTTCAGCACTAAGGTTCACTTCCTTTGTAAAATGAATGAGGAGTGGTCCCGCTTTCTGTCACCCTCGAAGGTCCAATAACACTGGGATTTCCTCTTCTCAGGAGTAAGAACAACCTGACAAATAGGCCTAATATCTTTATTAAGAGTATTTCCTCATCGGCTTTCCAAATTTCCCTTCTTAACGGATTTATTCAAGTTCTTGTCTCTGCTATTTTCGCAATTTTGCTTAATTATCTATCAGCTAACTTCTATGCTGATGAAATAAAAATCACGAAATGCTTTATTCTCCAATAATTCTCTCTCTGAAGCAGGGTTTCCCTATATAGACCAGGCTGTCTGCACGCCCAGGGATCCATCTGCCTCTGCCTCCCAAGTGTGGGGACAGGCGCTGCCATAGCTGCCTCCAAAACTCCCCAGTGTTGCCCCCAGCCCAGAGTGTCCTGCTTCCCTTTCTTAACCGGGCATCAGGGAGGCCCTGGGGCTGGAGTGCTTTCCCGACTCCTCCGATGGGTGATCAGGTCCTCTCTTTCTCTGTGCCTTTTGTTCTGTGTAGGTATTTAGTGTTCTCATTCTTTTTAGATATCTGATACTTGCATTTTCTCTCTCTTCCCTCTTTAAATTGATCCTAGTTAAGCAGGGAATTTTATTCATCCTCAGTTACTTGGTAACTTGAGATTTCATTTACGATGCTTAAAGAACAAGGCCTTAAAAATCCCACTTCTTAAAAACACATTATCGTTTTCTGTCTAACATATGATGAAAATTTGAACTTAGTGGATTTAAAAAGATAAACAGGTCAAAATTAATCTTGTCCTAATAATAGGCTCTGCTTTTTTTTTCATAATTGTACAAAAAAATCTTACTTTGAACCTTTATGTTTTTCTTTTGGATCAGGGTCTGTACCTCATGTTGAACTCAAACTAGAGATGCTCCTGCCTCAGTCTCTGAGCATGCTTCAGCATGCCTGCTTATATCATACTGATAGCCCTGACATTACAGGCATGCCTGGCTATATCTTACCGGTCTATCATCTGAATGTCTTTAAAGTCTGACTTAATGCCAGGCTTTCTAAACATCTGATTGTCTTTCCTTCGATGCTGGGGACTGAATGCTGGTCTGCCATGTGCTCTACCACTGGCCACACTCCAGTCCTGTCGTCTGCACCTTCTAAATGCTAGCTGACGAGGTCATGTCACCTTTGCTGCCTTCACTTGTTTTTGTTGATTATGCTACTGTTTGTTCTTTCTTTACCTCTTGTTAATTTGCCTGCCCTCCTTGTCCTGACTCTTAGAACCAACCATTTGCTATCCACTGCCACAGGTGAGCCAAGACAGAAACTACCTCTGCACCACGACGTGCTCCCCTACTCCACCGTGCCTGCCACCCTGAGATGAACCGCAGGAGTGTCTCTTAAGATCTCGCACACTTGGACTGTTAACAGTCGTTCTTTACAGGAGTCTGTCTCACACTTAGCACTCACACTTAAATCTAAGTTAAGATTTTCTCTTAATAAAAAGAAGTTGAAACTAAGTAGGTGGGGTTCAGCCCCAGCCTCTGAGCCTTTATGAGGCTATGACTCCATCCTTCACAGAGTTCAAGAGTTGACCTGGAGGTACTTACACACATGTCTTTTCTCGTTAGTTCCTCTGGGAATTCAACGAGTCTTTTCAGTATAGAAAAGCTTTTCCAGGGTCTCATTTACTTGTGCCAGGCAGCTCGGCCTGTAAAGGTCAGAGTCAGCTAACATTCCCCCACTTCCCGTAGTAATTCAGCCTCTTGCTCGCAAAGAGGCCTGGGAGGGCCAGGGGTAGGCTCTGGAGCTGTGGTCCCCACTCACCTGTGTGCAGAGAGAGGTGTCGCGACAATGTCTGCTGTCGGCCAAACACTTTCCCACACACATCGCAGGGAAAGAGCTGGTCATTGAACTTCCAGGACGGTAATCCATTTCCTGCCTCGAGGACTAGCTTCTCTGTCTCTGGGTCAAGAGAAAAGACACTGTGAGGAATACAGGGCACCAGAAATGCACAGCATCTTAGCCAGCCCTGAAGACTTCCTCAGAGGCTCCCCCTAAAAAGGGGCTGAGAACCACTAAGAAGAACCAGCAGCCACCCTCGTCCCCATCAATAAAGGATATCGGTGGGGGCCACAATGGTAAAGGGGTCCACAGCCCAACAGCAGCTGGGTTTTCTGTTGATCCTCTTCCTGGTAAAGCCAATCCACACAGACACACAGATACACACACATGCAGTTTGACAGGACTCTGTTCAGTCTATAGAAGGTACTCGATAAACACTGGAGTGGGTGAGAGCTGCACGTTAACTTTCTAGAAACGTAGAACCTGCCACAAGATGGTAAACAAAGCAATTGAAACCCCAGGTTCCAAAACGAAAACTAAAGGGTCCATGTCTGGAGAAAAAATATTCCGCTGCTCTTTAAAAAGAAAAGTTTTGCTGCCAATTTTTGGGTTGTGCAAAATCTTTAGCCAGGAGCTCACACAGAACTAACTTAGGGATGACGGCCTCACACTGCTCCTAGCGCAAGAGCTTCGACCGGCATCCTACATCTCCTGTGGCAGCTGGGAAACGGGTGCTCCACCAGCAATCCATACACAGTCTTGGATGGAGTAAGCACACTTCAATACATTCTCTTTGTAGCTTAGAAGACTTGTATTTCTCATAGTTGTCAATAGAATTTCCTTTTATTTCCTGACCCGGGCCTCTTCTCAACGAACCACAATAGACTGCACAAACATCTCGTCTGCAGCTGTGTAAGAAGACAGGCGACAGTCAGGGGTGCCCAGGAGAGAAAATGGATACTTCCAAGAGACGGCTCGTCCGTCAGTCTGTCCTTGACCTGACCGAGTTTCTGTGGGCCTTCCCGAAGCACAGCGCTACATTACAGGATGGAGTGCATGTGGGGAAAATTAAATGTCACCAGGAACTTCTGAGATCCAAGCAGAGGACAGCGTCCTGACTGCTGCTCGAAGGACACCGCAGAACCAAGTGCTTGATTTCACACAATTAGGCTAAAACCATTTTCCAGATACAGGTTTCCACCTATATTTGGACAAGTCAGTTGGATCAGCGCGCGTTTGAATGAGGTTTCCCCAGCAGTGTAATATGAGGACAGAAGAAACAAATAACGCAGATTTGGAAGGAGAGCAGGGAGAAGCCGTGGGGAAATTTGCGATAATGTTTGCTGTGCAGTACCTGCCAGCAATCCCACCACTGATAAACGCATTTATTGATTGATCTGTGTTTGTTAAAACGCAGTTCTTGAGGCCTCAGAGAGAAGAAACTAGTTTGTGTCAAGCAGTAATGCTTAAGTCGGGGTGGAAGGGGATGGGGAGGATGGGGAGGTAAAGACGGAGGCCAGTTGGACATCTTAAGACAAGGACCACTCCTGGGTGACTGTCCTCAAGCCACATAGAGATAAGAGATGTATTTCAAGCAGTTCCTTCTAAGTGTGCCATCAACAGCGCTCTCAGGGGGGCGATAATTATAATAATAGGTGGAGGTCAAGACGGTGCAGTGTCTTCTAGTGCACCCACAATACATGAATTCATTGTGTCACAGACCCAGCTCATAGGTAATTAAAAGTGAAGGCATCTCTTAATAATTTTTTGAGTATTAGTCGTGAACTTGAGAAGCTTAAGCATTACAAAGAATTCAGTTCTTCCAGTCTTGGAAAGCCATGGCAACTTTGAGGACCGGGACACATGAGCAGAAAAAGCACCACACTGGGCCGTGAGGCACCCAACATGCCCGAGCCCCAACACCAGCCCTATCTCGGCATGGATCCTAACCCCTTGGTGTCTGAATCTATGTACAGGGACTAAATATCATTCTTATTCTACAGTCAGAATGAATGGGGATTTCTTAGCAATAACATATTGATTAGCACGATTAATTTAATAGCACAACTAATAAGGTCAACAGACAATTCAGAGCAGAAAGTAAAGAGATATGCCTGGTATGGATATGCGTCTGTAAGGCTAATCTTGGTTGTCAATTTGACACTCTTGAAAAGAGGTAGCCTCGATGGGTGAGCTGGCTCCATCGGATTGGCCTGTGGCCATGTCTATGGCCATTTTCTTGATTATTAATTGACATAGGAGGGTTCCCCAACCTGAGAGGTACGATCCCCAGGCAGAAGGGACTGGGCTATACGAGAAGGCTAGCTGAACAGATAGCTAGCCAAGTACGCAGTGTTTGTCCGTGGTCTCTGCTTCAAGCTCCTTCCTTGGTTCCCCTTGATGACGACCTGCAACCTGTAAGTCAAATGAGCCCCCCTCCCCCAAGCTGCTTTGGTCATAGTGTTTATCACAGCAATAGAAAGCAAGTCAGAACAGTGTTTCAAATAAACTTAAGAGATATGCTCTTATGATTCTTTCAGCAGAAATGCTTGCAGTCGCAAGTCAAACTGCAAAGACTTTATAGCCTCCCGAGCGCACCACACCCCAGGTTTACTCTGGTTGAAACAACCGCTCTGGCAGACAGGATTACTGTTAACCCCACAGCCACAGCTGACAACAGTCCTTCCCTTTCCTGCTGCCCTCTCCCACAGCTGGAGGCAATGGCTCTCAGTCATGAGTTAAAAGCGCTGGCCAATGAAAAGGCTTTTGCTTTCCTGATGAAAAGAAGGCTAAGAGTGGGTGTTGGCTTTCTCTCTTTCTCATGCCTTGATGACAGAGGGGACACCTGGGACGGTGGCAGCTATTGTGTGAGGATGAAGCATGAAGATGCAAGCCAGCCCATGCCATTCTTAACCGAAACTCTCTTCCGTGCTCGGCCCCATCCGTCTACAGCATCCCTGAAGGGCCCTCCATCCTCGCTCCCGGCGGTGGCAACGGGGACGCCGGGTGAGCGCATCCCATCCTAATTATCTTTGGTTCTGCTTTAAAAACCCTACAAGCCTTTTCTTAGATTAGTAAGGGAATTTGCTTTAATTTTTTTTCTAACGAAGCATGACATATACCACCAATGGAAAAGTACACATACCAGTAACTGCATCTCAATCAGTCCCAAAGTCTCCAGACAGTTCAAACTATGGGTATTATTTTAAAACTTCTGACTTCCTTCTTTATTCCCACACCCCCTGGTGTTTGTCATTATTTTAAGTAGCTGCGTAGTTACAATCTTTTTCCTTTCTTTTAGAGCAAAACTCTAATCTAATGACAAATTCTTTCTTGCCCAGTCTCATAGGTTTTTTTAATCTCTGGCAAAACATTTTATTTCTTTTCAGTCATTTTGACTCTGATTTCTAGAGTATCCTCAATTGCTCTGTGACTCCTGGCTACTCGGCACAATGCAGTCTGAGGCTTTTCTCTCTAACAGTTCACCTACAGTTTTGGCTTTGAATATCACTTAGGGTTTTCCATGTCCTTAATTAAGGCTTCTGTTCCATTTTGTGTGGTGGATGGGCCGCAGGCTGTCAGCATACCAAGCTCATGTTGTACTCCGAGCTACACTCCCATCTAGGTCTGTGTTTTCAGCGATGCAAATGGATCCACAAGCACAAGCACTTTTGTCTCAGTGCAGCTGTGTCTGTGCAGTGTCTGTGAGAAGTCCCCAGCTATTCCTACACAGTGACGTTCACGACAACGAGGCCTCGTTATGCAAGATGCAGTAGGGCAAACTGTGCTTCTTAAGACCTACTGACACAAAGGGATGTGTCTTACTCATAACCCAACAACTATGTCCCCAAAACTGAACATGAGATAAACCCATTCGGTAGACTGGCACAGGCTATGGATCAAGCTGAGAACCTACAGAGCCTTCATACAAGAGGGCCAAAGATATCACTACTTCCAAGACCTCCCCTGACTCAAGGTGCACTGTCAGTTGCACATGGTCAAGAAGAGTTTCCATGGCAACCATGTCTCCACCCTACCTCGAAACGAAACTTCATTCAAGAGGGAACCTGAATTTTCATCTTAAGTCTCTTTTCTTAGACGAAAGCAAAGCAAGGCCCAGAGAAGTGAGGTGACTTCCCTTGGATGTCTTGTTAGTGGCTGAGCGCATTAGACTCCCCCGTATCTCATGTGAGTTCCTCCAAGCCACAGAAAACCGACTCAAAATTCTACATCACACAAAGGGATTTTTCTCCTCCCTCTGCTCCTTAGCTCTGCACTTAATATTCTTAGTTACAAGCTGGCAACAATTCAGACACTAGGATTTCTTCTACCTCTTTTTTGGCGAGGGTCAGCCTAGGATGTCCCAGGCACAGAGGCTGAGAGGCTACAGTAAGCTATAAATCATCACCAAGGAGGGTCAACAGGACAGTCAGATGGGTGCACCCTAAAAGTCAAGCCTTCCCTTTGACGCCAACTAAGTCATACTGAAGAATCCCTTGGGCGTTTGGTTGCTATGCAGAGAGACTGTGGTAATAAACATATTTAAGGCATCGCTCTCAAAACAAGGGGGATAAAGAGGAGGATCCGAGTTTGCCTCATTAAGGTCTTTGGCTTTTGGTCTGGAGCATGACATGGTTTTGCTGGTGTGTCTCCCTGGGGGAGAAAAGCTACGTTCCTGGATGGAATGTTCCTCCCCAACACCACCACTCCACCTGATTTAGGCGAGAGAAACGCTGAGTAGGGGCTGTATCTGGGTAAAATTAGACAGCATGAGCTCAATCCATAAATAACTGTTCACTTTAGCCAGAGCCTGGCTGATTCATCCCCGGAGACCAGGGTCTGGGGCCACCTGCGTTTTCCATCCCAACATATGGAGTCTCGATTAGTTCAGCTGAAAAGTTCTGAGACATAATTCAAAAGTGGAATTCTGGGTTTCTCTGGTCTCCTGGGTAGATGGAAACCAATGAGTCAGACTGTATTCCAGGAAGACCATGGCACTTTCTGGTTAGGCCTGATCTGCCTGGCTCTCTCCTCCAGCCTCTGCTTAAATCAAGCTCCCACGTGCTGCCAAGGAAGTTGCCAGTCTGCAGGGAATATGCCTTTTGGGGCTGATGATCATC